CCCTCTCCTTCCCCTCTCTCCCTTGCCTCCCCCTTTCCCCCCAATTCCTCTCCCTCTCCTTCCCCTCCCTCCCTTGCCCCCCCCTTCTCCTCCCTCACCTCCCTCCCCTCCGCCCCCTTTTCACCTCATTCTTAAAACGGCTAGTCACGTAATGTATGAATCCACTTCAGATAATGTATCGCAACTCAAAGAGACGTGGAATTACACCAGGAGAGGAGGAGGAGGAGGAGGAGGAGGAGGAGGAGGAGAAGAAGAAGAAGAAGAAGAAGAAGAAGAAGAAGACAACGAGATTGAATCATGTCATCTTCCTCTTCCTCTCGCGGTCATCATTGAACCTCACATAATCTCCTCCTCCTCTTCTTAAACTCGACTTCTCTTTTCCCTGATGTCTCTCTTTGTACTCCTTTACCTGTATATACGCTCCATACTTCTACTGTCTTCCCCTGAATATTATATACGGTCAGTATAGCTGTATTTGGCCCAACTTGCAGTCCAGATGCAGCAAAAATGACTGTACGTTCCATCAGGGTGAAGAAGGTAGGTTGTCCTCATGGCACTTATCTCAGAATGTCAGATTGCCTATCTTCCTCCCTGAGACATAATGGGCCTCGCTCCTCTACTCGTGAAATGTGCAAAATCATGTGTCGCTAATGGCGCATAATCATGAACACAGGCAATCTTTCCGTCGACAAATGTGCAAATATGGGCCTCGACACATTTTGTGCATGTGTCGAGTAGTGGAGCAAGGGCTAATGGCGCATAATCATGAACACAGGCAAGCTTTCCGTCCTGATTCGCTAATTCTTGTGACGATAGTGGTCTATCAACAAGGCCTGGTGGTGGGGACCACCGCACAGTATGTTATGTTTCCTGAGCTTGCAGTGGTATAGTCTGTAACGGACCTGGTGATCTGCTGACAGACCCAGTGGGGACCACCTTAAATCCCTCACTGCTCACTACTGTTTTCTTGAGGCCTTTCTTGAAGCCAGGACCCACTGGTGCTATGTTCATGGTTTGATAGCATGAACCTGTTCGCTGTTGTGGGCAGGTTCATGCTGCACAAGCCTGAACATAGCACCAGTGGGGCCTGGCCCTTACCCTGAACACAATGCTCCCACGTACACAACACGCCCTCATTTTTGCTGCACCTGACCCAAAATATAGCGTGTATGCATTCTTTCCTGCACCCTCATTTGTGCGGGTGTCCATGCCCCCGTTCTCTCTCTCTCTCTCTCTCTCTCTCTCTCTCTCTCTCTCTCTCTCTCTTTCTTTTTTTTTTTTTTTTTTTTTTTTTTTTTTTTTTTTTTTTCCAACAA